ATTCAATTTATGAAGCAAGCATAACCTTGATATCAAAATCAGGCAAAGACATCACTCAAAAGTAAAACTATAGACCAACATCCCTCAAGAATATAGACGCAAAAATCTTTAACAAAATCCTAGCCAAAAGACTCCAACACCATATCAAGAGAATCATTCATTATGACCAAGTGGGGTTCATATCAGGCATGCAAGGATGGTTCAACATTAGAAAAACAATCAACATCCTCCAGCTCATAAATAAACAAAGGAAAAGAACCACATGATCATATCAGTAAATGCAGAAAAGGCATTTAATAAAATCCAACACTCATTCCTGACCAAAACTCTCAGCAAAATAAGAATAGAAGGGACATTCCTCAACATAATAAAGGAATGTGCAAACATTTTTGCAAAAAAAATATGCAAACCAAAAGGCAACATTATTCTCAATGGAGAGACTGAAACCATTCCTCTTGTGAACAGGAACTAGACAAGGATGCCCTCTATCACCACTTCTATTCAACATTGTACTGGAAGTCCTAGCCAGGGCCATAAGGCAAGAAAGGGAAATCAAAGGCATCCAAATTGGTAAGGAAGAAGTCAAACTATCCCTATTTGCTGATCATATGATCCTATACCTAGAAAACCCAAGAGGCTCAGTCAAAAAATCTACTGGAACTAATTGAAAGATACAGCATACTGGCAGGATACAAGAGCAACATCCAAAACTCAGTTGGGTTCCCCTACACTAGCAAAGAGAATGCTGAAAAAGAAATAAGGAAATTAATACCATTTAAAATGGCTACCAAAAAAATAAAATACTTGTGAATAAATCTTACCAAGACACAAAAGACTTGTACAAAGAGTACTATAAAAGACTATTCAAGAAATCATAAAAGATCTACATAAGTGGTGGAACATACCATGCTCATGGATAGGAAGATTGAACATTGTGAAAATGTCAATTCTACCCAAGGTAATCTATACATTCAATGCAATCCCAATCCAGATCCCATCAACATTCTTAAAGGATATGGAAAAACCAATCACTAACTTTATATGGAAAGGAAAGAGATCTTGGATAAGGAAAGCACTATTGAAGAAGAAGAACAAAGTAGGAGGTCTCACACTGCCGGATCTCAAAACCTACTATACATCCATAGTAGTCAAAACTGCCAGGTACTTGTACAATGACAGACACATAGACCTATGGAATAGAACTGAGAACCCAGAAATAGATCCATCGACCTATGGTCATCTGATCTTTGATAAAGGGCTGAAATCCATTAAATGGGGAAGAGATTGTCTGTTTAAAAAATTGTGCTGGCAAAACTGGATTTCCATTTGTAGAAAAATGAAACCAGATCTGTACCTCACACCATACACAAAAACAAACACCAGATGGATTACAGACTTAAATGTGAATCCTAAAACTATAAAATTCCTCAAGGAAAAACCAGGGGCAAAGTTAGGGGCCCTAATATATGGCATAAATAGACTATCAAGCATAGCTCAAAATGCACAAACAGCAGAAGAGAAACTAGATGAATGGGACCTTCTAAAAATTAAATTTTTATGTGCTTCCAAAGACTTCTCCAAAAGAGTCAAAAGAGAACCTACAGACTGGAAAAAAAATATTCGGCAATGACATACCTGACAAGGGACTTACCTCTAGAATTTATAGAAAACTCCAACACCTCAACAACAAAAAGACCAATAATCCATTTGAACAATGGGCAGAAGACATGAACAGACACTTCACCAAAGAGAATATTCAGGTGGCCAACAAACATGAAGAAATGTTCACAATCATTAGCCATTAGAGAGATGCAAATGAAAACAATAACGAGAGACATCTTGCCTCAGCAGTAGTAGCAAAGTTCAACAACACAGAAAATAACAAATGCTGGCAAGGATGTGGAGAGGTTGAGACTCTCATACACTGCTGGTGAGACTATAAAATGATACAGTCACTGTGGAAAGTAGTATGGCAATTCCTTAAAAAGTTGGAAATGGAAATACCATTTGACCCAGCCATTCCATTACTAGGTATATATCCTAAAGAAGTGAGAGCCAGGAGAAGAACAGATATATGCACACCCCTGTTCATTGCAGCACTATTTACAATAGCAAAAAGATGGAAACAATCTAGGTGCCCAACAACAGAAGAATGGATAACAAAACTATGGTACATACACACAATGGAATACTATGCAACCCTAAAGAATAATGTAGAATCTGCAAAACCCCCCACAATGTGGATGAACTTGGAGGACATTATGCTGAGTGAAATAAGTCAATCACAGAAGGACAAATATTGTATTAGTCCATTATTGTGAAAAATCAAGGAAAGGTTTATATATGGAAATAAATTTTCTTTTTTGGTTACAAGGGATGGGAGGGGAGGGGAGGAAACACTGTTAGACAGGTAGATACAAGTATTGATTTGGGTGAAGAGAAGGGCAATGTACCAGATGTGAGTGATCAACACGGTGGCATTGAAGAAGTAGAAGACATAGAGAAGTGCAAGGGAGGTACAGACAACAAAGACGAACCCTTCTGCATACACAGTACTGCATTGTCAGTGAAGGAAAACATTGATATCTGGGTGGATAGAGGGGTGGACAGGCTTAACTCTTAGGTATGTCTGTGCAGGGGGGGCGTGTGCCTAAGACCATGTATAGGGTTGGGAGACAATGTTTCTACAAGTGTATTGGTATGTTCTGTAAGAATTCCCAGATATATAGTAGAGCTGACATGGGACAAGGTTTGAGTCACTTCTTGGCAACAGCCGCTACCCAGAGAGAGTGAGTAGTTGGACCTGTGGGCTTGGGACCATAGTCACAGGAGACATCAAGCTCAATTGGCATGGCATACTATACAGAAACACTATTAACATCCTACTTTGGTGAGGACTGACTGAGATATTAAAATCTTGCAAGTGGCCAGCTAGATGCAACGCTGGGTCTCTCCTCATCCTCATCAGAGAAAAGAAGAATGAAGAAAACCAAAGATGCATGGAAACAATTAGTCCAAACAGCTGGTGCACCATGCAATCCTTACCTGTATGACTAGGAGACCAGAAGAATTATATGGTGCCTGGCTAATACTGTCAACTACTTAGAGTGGGATCTATGTAGGAGATCCTGGATGGAGTGAGAGAACGAAGTGGAACAACACTCAAAATCGTTATAACATTAGGAAAAGGGAGGACACCGAATTGTGCACATAGGAGATAGAAGACAGATGCTGATACCAACCAGCATATCCACAATACTGCGTTACCATTAACACCAACCACCAGGCTACAGATAAACACATAATCATCTGAGAAGATCAGATGGGGATCAGTGAACAGGAGTATACTCTAGACCAAGGATAGATTCAGAGGAGGCTAATCTTGCACAGATACCAGTGATACAAAATACCCACAATCCTTACAGAAACAACAGAAGACAGACATAGAATAATTCCTCACAGACATCCAGATACCATGGGAGAGAGATCCAATGGATCTACCATCTTAGGACCATAGCACTGGGGCACGCTAGACTCAATTGGCATAACAAAATACATAAAATCTTGTTCCTCATCCTACATTGGAAAGTAGTGACTGGGGTCTTAAAAGCTTTCAAGTGGCCATCTAAGATGCAGCTAATAGTCTCCTATTGTTGGAAGCACAGAAGAGTGCAAAAGTAAGTAAGTAAATAAATAAATAAGGGCATTTGGAAGCAATAAGCCCTAGGACACAATGACCGTCAAGACCAGAACTAGATGGTACCCAGCTACCAATGCCAATCAGTCAGGAAAGGATCAAATCTAGAGATCCTGGATAGAGTGGGAAGAAAAACATGGAACAAAATCCAAAAACTCAATAATGACCAGAATTATTGGTCAGATGGAGTCTGCTGAGACCTCCAATACTATGGCCCTGGGATACATTCTGGGCCTGGAATAAAGCTCATTTCCAGGGGCTGGCTGTCAGCCCAACAGTGAACAAGACAAGATGGACATGCAGACCACTCAACCCAGGGTGATGTACCCACATATTCTATGGAAATGCATCCCTTGGAGCAATCGACCATGAGGCACCAGAGGGGCAACATTCACATGGAGGAAATGCAGGACAAACAAGAGTGCACAACTATGAGGGCCACAGGGGGAGGGTTACTAGGCAGGGAGGGGAGGAGACTGGGTTAGGGTTGGGCATGGTAAATGGGGAGTGAAACTAAATGTACATGTAATGTTGAATGTAAAACAAACTGTTAAAATAAAAAATTAAAAAAAAAAACAACCCTCAAAGTCATTGGAAAAAAAAAAGGGGACCAGGTTTACTGGTCTGATGGAACCACTAAGACTCTGGTCCCTAGCTTCCCTTCAGGTCTGGAATTGAACCCACTCCTGTGGCTTCCAGCCAAACAAAAGACAGGCATATGAACTGAATATTTACATTAGGTATGCACACTCCCTGGAGAGATCAATCATGGGAGAGTAGAAGGGCTGTGTATGTACAGGGAGACAGCTTGGGGGGCAGGAAAACATGGAGGGAAGGACACAGGTAAGAGGTAACTATGGGGAGGAAGTAGGAGGGGAGCTGTTGCATTGTGGGAGATTGCAGTCAATGTTATGAGACAAAGTGCATGTGGGCTGCTGTGTGGAAAATGAATTTTGTCTGTAAACTTTCAACCAAATCACACTTAAAAAAGAAAAGAAAGAAAAAAAAGAATGAGCATCTAGACCAGTTAGGACTCATGACAGCCCCATGTGTGTCTGAGGAGAACTGTACTCCATAGAATTTTAAGTGGCTGAGTTTTCAGAAAAAGATCACTAGGTCTTTCTTCTAAGATAGAATGATAGATTCCAACCTCCGAACTTTTGTTTCTTACCAAGTGCGATAACTGTTTGCACCAACCAAGGACTCCAAGAATGAGCGTATAGAAGACATCTTTTGTAATGAGCCAAATACGTTGCATACCGAAGCAACACAGTGGTAATAAACTATTCACTGCTCTACCTACCTTGTTAAGTGAATTTCGGCATCATGCAGCAGAGGAATTTTGAAAGTGACCAAATTATCTGCATTATTTTCCTCCTGGCTTTCACTATTGAAAAGAACATCATAGAATTACTTTAGAAGAAATATAAAAGCCAACCACTACTAAGTCATGATTTCATTATACTTTACCTTAAGGCTTGGAAACTGACAGATGCCTGATTCTGAGGGTTTTGAAGATTGAAGTCGAAGTTAATAGTAAAAGTCACCTATATGTAAAATAAAATGTTATCAATTTATAATACTTCATATTCAGGGACCAAAATTAAAAAAAAATTCTCTATCAAAGTAAACTCTGATAACATGTGTATAATATCTTTGTCACCTTGTTTCAGCGTGTCCCATCTGAAGAATTAAGAGATCATAAGGTCTTAAATTTCAACTGACACATACACAAACCCACAGAGCCACATGCGCACGTCTGAATTGGAAATCTTTATGCTGATTTAAAACTTGTTTCCCAGGGTTTAACATGTGATAAAACACTTGGATCAATGCTTGTCAATACAGTCAGAAAAAAGAGCTCTCCAGATATGTGTGATTTATGGAATGAATTATATAGTGGGGGAGGGGAGAGAATCCAACTTTTACTAATTATTTTAAGAAAAAATTCAGATACTAAATAACTTCCTCTAAATATTTTGTCTGGTAGCGTAAGGCACTTGACTGCTAGCCAGAAGATTGGTGGTTCAAACCCACCAGCCACTCCTCAGAAGGAAGGTTGGGCAATCTACTTCCATAGTGATACTGCCTCGGAAACCCAAGGAGGGGTCGCTATGAGTCGGGTCCAACTCAACGGCACATAACAACAACAACAACAACAAATATTTTGTGATGCTTATTGAATGATGGTTCTTAATAAAGACGTTAGGTTGGTGAGTTAACACTAGTGCTGAAGAGGGATGAATGAATTTGAGGATGTGATGCAAATTGTACCTGCTGTTTCCTCTTTAAAGCAGGGTATCCTACATTGCAGGTAACAGATTGCTGAGATGAATCAATCTGGCATGTGACTTCTGTCCCATCAACCTGAACAAGACCAAGAAAACAACCATGGTCAATTAGCATATAACACATTTGTGTTCACACACACATGCTAAAAGATGTGTAAGCCACAGACATTTTTACAGGAATACTGGCTCACAGTAAAGTAATTTATTGTCTCCGAAGACTCAAAAAACGAAGATAGTTCAGTAGGCTACTATACTATATCCATTGCTAACCCTAAATATAAACAGGACACGTAACAAACAAAAGAAGAAGTTGAATATGGAATCTTTTTCTGGAAAGAAGTCATAGTTTTTACACTTTAGAAACACAAACATAACCTCAGTGCAATACTTACAAATGCTTACTTTAATGTATGCTTTTCTCTCAATAGATTTCAAATTTGTATTTCAAGAGAAGAAGGTAAAATCATATGATGGCAATCATCCATATTTGAAGTCATGTTAAAATCTGTTTAAGTTTTCCTCAGGGTTTTTTTTTTTCCTCCTTAGGATATTTGCCAATTTCCACAATTTAAACATTAATGTCAGAATAGGTTTAGAATTCTAGAGAAAACAGCGTCTCTCCTGTAGTGCACACACTAGTTCCCTCTATCATCTTTGTGCCTGAAAAACTGGATGCAGCAGTTTGAAATGGGGATTCAGGTGCTCTGAACAGCTCATTAAGTTAGAGTATGCCAAACTCAGGGGAGTAGGATTAGAAAGGAGAAAGAGGTAGTGCAATTACCCGGAGGGAAAAAAATAACAAAAACAGTTGAACCTGCCCTGTGGAGTGCTGACTGACAGGTGAGAAAGATCATCGGAGGCCTCCCTGGGGGAGTGCCGACCAGAAGGCGAGAAAGGGTAGTAGAGAGAATACACAACACCAGAGAACTTGAGGCCACTCCAAGCACTTCAGCACCTGCTTTTATCAGTAAACTTGGGACCAATGGGAAGGAGCAGAGATATTCTCTGGCTCCAGGTACCACTGAATTGGTAGCAGAGAAAACATTAACACCACAAGTGGGTGGGCCCTAGCATGAACTCCCATCACACATCAGGGCAGTTATCCTACTTCAGCTTTTTGGCACAGAGAGGAATGGAGAGTGGAGGAGGTTTTTGTGGCTTTCTGAACCTGGCA